CCGAGTCGACGGCGGTGGGTGGTCAGCTGGTGGCCGAACATCCCGTGCACCTCGAAGCCGTAGGAGCCCGCAGGTTGGCAGCCGTTGCGCTCCAGCCGCGTCGTGATCCCGTACCGCCGAGTAGCTCGGCTGAATCTCTTCACCTTCTCGTTCATCGCTCCGTGTTTGATCTGTCTCTGCGTCCTGGTAGCACGGCCCTGCTTGCCGCAGCTGAAGTCCACCCCCAGGTACGGCGCTTGCGCCAGAGCCCTGACTGGGAAACCCTTGAGCTTGGCAGCCCGGGCTACAGCACGAGCGTCAGCGGCGTTCGTGCACATGACGACTGACTTCTTGGCCAACTTGAGGCCTGCCTTGGCAAGCTCTTGGCCCGCCTTCACAACTCCGCGTATGAGGTTAGCCCTTACTGCCTGGCGTGAGCCCGTGATCTTCTGGCAGATATCGTCTATCCAAACGCGGTGGTTCATCCTGGGTGTCGCCGTAACCACCACCTGCATCACGAAGTGGGTGAGGATCTTGGCGAATCTGGTTCCCCCTCGCAGCCCCTGGATGACTGACTGGCAGGGCTCGAAGGGGGTGCACACTGCTCCCTCCTGGGATAACGTCCGCATCGTGATGCACTGGAGGAGCTCCAAATATAAAATGACTGGTGGAAATGGAGCCTCAAGGCCGCCCTCGCCAGGGGCAGCCAAGGTATTGAATCATAAAATTCCTGAATGTCAAGCAGTCCTTGACCAAATTCCATTCGCATCCAGTGCGCTACCTCTTCATCAATGGCATGAAGATATGCTTCGCGTAAACAACTGTTCCCAGCAACTGCGGCATCCCATGCCTGTTCTTCATCTTTGCTCCACTGCTTAACTATAGGTTCCCGAACGTGGGACCAAAGGCGGCCTATCATAGGTATCATACCTATGCCTCTGTCGCCCTGGGATTTCTTGGGAGTCAAGAAGGTCACGATGAGCTGTGTCTGAGCTGGCCAAGCGAGCAAGGCTTCTGCATTCTTCAAAATGTCTGTAAATTCCTCCATGGCCTCACGAGGGAGGCGTTGAAAGTCGACTGGGCCCAGAACATCCACCCCCAGCCCTGCCTTAGCCTTCATGGCCTTGGCGCTGGCGTAGACCAGGTCTGGGGTAAGCTCAGGAAGATCATCACCCTGGGCCGCTTCTCGAATGAGTCGAAACACTTCCGTTATCTCGCTGACGTCAGGGGGCCGTGGAGCCCACATCCGCTTGAAGGTCACCGCTTTATGCTCCATGATGTCGGCTGGATGAACGAGGGTGCGATCCCCCACCTCCAGCTCACTCGGTGGTAGTGGGTTCGCCTTCAGCGACTTGTGGAGGATGCCCACGGCCTCTGGCTGCATCACAAAGGTCTTAAAGTTGGAGATCGACTCGTGAACTGCCGCGCGCTGAGCCCTGCTGGCCACGCGCTTCGCTGCAATGACATAGTTCTCCAGCACTGGGGTCGGCAACCGACTCGGGTCACCGAGGACTGCCAGCCACTGGTCCCACGGGGCCTCGCGACCCGCATTCAATAGGTTGTGCACCCCTTCAGGCCTGGACTGCCGTAGGAGGGTACTAGCCTTGCCGTACTCCTGCTGCTGGCGCTGGCCGTTGTCCCTGCACTGGTGCCTGAGGACTCCAGCGAGCACCGTGTGGACGCGCGTCCACCACTGGCTACGTTGATCATGCAGGGCGAGTTCCCGAACATGGGCAGTGACCCTCATGGGCTTCTCATGGATCCTGGGCCCCACGGCGCGCGTGGGCCCAGCAGGGGGCCTGACATGATGGCGCGTATGGAAAGCCTGCTCGACCGCCGCCACCCAAGTCGCGCACTGCCCCGCGAGGAGCTTTCCGCGAGCAGGTTCAAGCGAAAAGGCTACGGAGGAGGAAAGGAAAGGGGAGAGACTCGCCACGGCATCCGCTCCCGACCGAAAGCCCACCTGCTGTCGAGCCTCGGCCCACGTGGACGCAGGAATTTCAAACGGAGGGTCGGGCACATCTTCGACCACGGGGCACGAGGGGGCATCCTGCTGGGAGGGGTCGGGGCGATGCGACTGAACACTGCTACTACCTACGTTGCTGCTAACTAAGGGGTTACTTGAAACCGCCGAGGGGGGAAGGGGTTGGGCCTCGCATACCGACGAATTGACACTCACATTGACTGCATCGAGCTTTTTGTCTCCGACGGCCGATGCGCCGACCGCACCCGATCCATCAGACGACAGCTCGCTACCAAGGCGTGAGTCAGTACAAAAATTAAACTCGTGGGCCCAGGGGTCCTCCTCCTCCTCAGGGAAAGCCAAAAAATCGTGGCCCAGATCAGGGTCCTGATCGGCCTCCTCAGCCACCTGGGAACGCGATGTCCCAAGGTGCACGGGGGGCTCCAAAACATCCCCGAAGGCCTCCTGAAAACCCGCGACCCTCTTGGCGTGAGCCTCCTGGCGCTTAACAGCCGCAACGGACCTGGCCTGGCTGGACTTGGATCCAGGAGTGGGCTCACACCGAGGCCTCGGGAGTTGGGGCAACTTCGGGGGCAGGGAAATCTCACGCGTCCTAAGGGTCTGGCCCGAAGCTCGTAGGCTCAAGGCTAGACCGAGATGAGGCTTCCACGGGACGCTTCTGACTACTTCTAGACTCTGGATGAATGAGGACGCGGCAGCGCTCATATAAACAAAGTCGATCATTGTGTCTGGTCCTTTTTTTCTGGGCACATGTGCCCTCAACTCCAGCTGGGACGCGCACATGGCCCCCCGTCACTCTGTGGAAGGCCGTGCGCTTGAGCTCGTCTGGCGTCATGTTGAAGTCGCCGATGACCAGCCACGGGACTCGGAGTGAACGGAGTAGTCCACCGAGTCGGTTGAATCTCTCAATGTTCCTGCCCGTCATCTTGATGGACGGCAGCGCGTACAGGGCGACCACCACGATCGCGTAGCTGTGCTGCTGCAGTATCACTGGGCAGAATCCGTCGTACGCCGACTGCTTCGGCGCCTTGAGGTACTTGGCAGCAGCCCTCGCCTCGGGCAGCTGTTGGCTCTGCAAGTGCTTGCGGGAGAAAAACATCTCACCTCCCTCGTTCGAGTGCGCCTCCTTGGCCTTAGACACTACCTTCGAGGTGCGGCGAGCCGAATTCATGATCATGCGAAGGTTGAGAGCCCGGCTTGCCTTGGTCCACTTCTTGACGTCCGACTCGCGGTGAATGTGAGTCTCAGTCATGATCCAGTGGTCGTAGGCTCCCACGTGCTCCTGTACGTACTTCCACACCTTGTCCGTTAGGCAGGTGACGTTCGAATAGAATAGCCTAGTGCATTCCCCTTCGTCACTGCCTGCCCCCTCGGTCTTGTGGGTCCGAGGGGTCCCCGTCCGACACCGTCAAGCTGAGGGATCTGCAGGCGCCCCAGCGGCCTCACCACTGGCGGTGCCCTTGCCCTTCGCCTTCGTCGCCGCCTGCTGCGCCAGGAACTTGGCCGCGGACAGCCTCTCCGCCTCCGCCTTAACGGCGTCTGAGGGGTCAGCTGCCGCCGCCGCGCCGCCGCCGCCGCCTGGGGTGGTCCCCGCCGCCGATGCCGCCGCCGCAGGAGGGGCCCCCTGGCCCCCGCCGCCAGCCGCCGCTGTGGCCGCCTCCTCAGGTGCGCCGTCAGTAGGCGCGCGTCTCTTCTTCTTCGCCCGCTCCTCGATGGTGTGCCGATGCTGCTGCATGGCCTCCAACCACTTCTGGATCTCGGCCTCCTTGCCCGTGAGGGTCTCCTTGGCGCCCTGCAACTGGCCTCGGAGCTCCTCTAGGGCCTTCTTCTCCGCGTCCGTGGCGTCCAGCGCCGCCAGGTTCGTGAAGAAGCTGTCGTCCCACTCCAGCGTGATGATCTTCTTCTCGCCGTCGGGGCTAGGCTTGGCCTCGGTGACCCCTTCGGCCTTAGCCAAGGCCGTGGCTGCTGCTCGCTTGGCCTCGGTGGTCTCGGCCAAGTGGATGGCTGCCGCCCTCTCTTTCGCCTCCGCAGCTGCCAGATTGCTGCGGAGGCGAATGACATTGCTAACCGCCTGGCTGTGGAGGTGCTCCGCGTTCCTCCACGCCCCATCGGCCCTGCGCAGGGCCTCCGCGGGCGTGATCCTGGCGGCCTCCCGCCCGCTCTCCTCCTTGGCGAGCTTGTCCAGCTGCGCCTGGAGGTCCACCTTGAGCGTGGAGTCGGTGGCGGCTGCCAGGGCCTGCTCCAGGAGGCTCTTCACTGACTTGCCCCCCTTGCCGCCCTTGCCGCCTCCGAGCCCGCTCCCCACAGGGCCCTTCAAGATGCCTGGGCGCCGTGGTTGCGGGCGCTCGCTCTCGCTGCCGCTGGTGGCGTCGTAGAAGCCGTCGGCGTCGCTGTCGCCGTACTCGTCCACGAACTGAACTCGCCTCGGTGTCCTCTTCCTCTCGAATGGCTTGACCTCGTTGCCGCAACCGCTGCAGATGTTGTGGCGGCGGGCCAATACTCCGTTCCACTCGCACGTCTGACATTGCATGCATCTGGTCCACAGCTGGTGGACGCCCGCCATTGCGTCTGTCCCTGTGTTGGTCGGTGCCTCTTCTTGGCTGGCACGCAGAAAAGACAGAGTCCCTCAAGCGCTGCTGGGAAGCCCAGGGACGAACTCAAGAGGGCAAGTGGGCCTCCTGGGGCCCCTCACCCGCTCGAGCCCAAGTTGCTTGAGTACTACCAGGAGAGGGAGGAGGGGGAGGGGGCAAGGAGGACCAGGAGGGAGCGACGAGGAGGGAGCGGAGAGAGTGAAGAACGACGACGAAGACGCGGCGGAGGAGGGAGAGGACGAGGTGGAGGAAGCAGGGCAACCAGGAGGAGGAGGAGGAGGAGGAGGAGGAGGAGAAGAGGTGAGCAGGGCTGTGACGAGGGTTCCCTCTCCTCCTGCTCCCCAAACTTCTCCTCTCCTCGTCACGCCATCCTCCTCCCTGTCATGCTCCTGCTCCTCCTCCTCCTCCTCCTCCTCCTCTGATTCCCCATCCTCCTGGATGGCAGAGGAGCTGCAGCGACGGCTGCCAGGCGTCGGAAGGACCGCCTCACAGCGCCGCCACGCCATCACTACAGGAGGGTGTCCGCCGACCCCTCCTGAGGGGTGCCTGCTTTGAGCCTCTTCCTCCTCTTCCTCCTCCTCCTACTCCTCCTACTACTCCTCCGTTCTCCCTCTTCGCTCCTCCCTCCGCCACTCTTTATCATCACTGCCCCACGGCCCCCCATCCCTTCTCACCCCCAGACCTCCGACAAAGCGATTGTTCCCGCCGTGCTCCTCTCGAGCTTTCGACCATTCCGTGAGCCTGAAACGGGCCTCCCGAGGGCAAGAACTCGCAGACACGTGCCGTCTCGCGAAAGGGTTGGATCCCGCCTCCCCAGAAGAGCTGGGGGGACGTCAACCGCCCACCCTGCCGATTCTGGCCTGGCCGATCCTGAATCGATATCCCGCTTGGCCGGGCCAGGGGAGCGTATGCACTAATCTGGGTGCCCAGAGCAAGACATCGCATCGTGAAACCGTATCGACTCGGACTCTGCGTCGGACCGGGCTGCCTCGGCACGGCGTCGAAATCGTACCACATCGGCCGCACGGGCCACAATGCACAACGGCGCCGCGCAAAGATCGGAGTGCATTGGATCCCGCGAATATCTGGCCATCGCTCGGACGTCCGTTCCCTGTGCACGTTTCGTTCTCGCGCGTGTCTTCTTACCTGGTGATCCAGGATGCCCCTCGATGGCCCTCGCTGAGAAAAAACTGCACACGTCGAATCGGCTCAGGCGGATCGGCATCGATGGCGAGCCGAGGATCGAGCGGGCCGAAGTGGGCCCTCGGCCAGGGCAGGCCTCCCCAAGATATCAGCAAGGCGGATGGCAGCCCGCGCCCCCTGAGCATCGCTTCACCGATCCCTATCCCCACTGGCGTGGGACCCCACTGGCCGATCTACCCCCCTAGACGGGGATACGGGCTGTTCCCTCCGGGCTTCGAGGGGCAGATCCCCAGTGGAAGTGGTGCGATGGCAAGGCTGAGGTACCCTGGTCCGTTGGGGGCAGGGATCGGTAAAACGATGCTGAGCCTCGGGGGAGGGCCTGGCACCAGCGGCGCCAGCCGGCCGCCTACCCCGCGGAAGGCCCCTGGTAGCCGGTCTCCGGGCCGCCGGCTCCGCCTCGGCGCGCGCGCGCGTGCCGCGGGCGAGGGCGCGCAGAGGCGGATCTCATGCTCGATGCGCCTGCCACAACGGGCGGGCGCGTGTCGCGACGACCTGCGTGCTGGCTTCTGAGGTAGCGCGCGCGTCGCGCGACGCAGAACGATCGCGGTTCGCACTCCTCCGTCCTGGAGCATCGAGCCCGCCCCTTCGGGGGGAGGGGGAGGGGGGAGGAAGGGGAGCTGAAGGAGCTGAAGCGCGCAGAAGTCATGCCGCGGTAAAAACCACAAACCCCGCTAGACGTATGGACTCTGGCTCTGGGTAGGGGTGTGTCGCCTAGCGACTCTCTGCCCCGCCGACGGGACCTACGCAAGCCCATGGTTCACCCGACTCCGCGGGGGGCTGCACTGGCCCTGTTCACCTGCCATCGGTTTTGAGAAGGAGGAGGAGCTCCTCCTGCTCCTACTCCTCCTCCTCCTCCTCCTCCTCCTCCTCCTCCTTCTCCTCCCCCTCATCCTATCATCATCATCATCATCATCATCATCATCATCATCATCATCATCATCATCATCATCACCATCATCATCATCATCATCATCATCATCATCATCATCATCACCATCATCATCATCATCAGCATCAGCATCATCATCATCATCATCATCATCAGTATAATCACAATCATCGTCACCATCACCATCACCATAATCATCATCATCATCGTCATCATCAACATCAACATCATCATCATCATCATCATCATCATCATCATAATCGTCAGAATCACCGTCATCGGCATCATCATCATCATCATCAGCACCACCACCAACAGCATCAGCATCATCATCATATTCAACATCAGCATCATCCTCATCACCATCATCATCACCATCACCATAATCACCATCATCAGCATCATCACCATCGTTACCACAACCACCACCATCATCATCATCAGCATCATCGTCATCATCATTATCATCATCATCACCACCATCATCATCATCAGCATCATCATCATCATCATCATCACCATCATCATCACCATCACCATAATCATCATCACCATCACCATAACCATCACCATCATCATTACCATCATCATCACCAACATCACCACCACCACCATCATCATCACCATCATCAGCAACACCATCGTCATCATCATCATCATCATCATCACCATCACCATCATCATCATCAGCATCATCATCACCATCATCATTATCATCATCAGCATCATCAGCACCATCATCATCGTAAGCATCATCATAATCATCATCATCATATTCAGCATGACCATTCATTGCCATCATCGGCATCGTCATCAACATCATCAGCATAACCACCAACATCATCACCATCATCATCATCACCATCACCATCACAATCACCATCACCTTCATCATCATCAACATCATAATCATCATCACACGCATCATCATAAGCATCAGCATCAGCATCATGATCATCATCAGCAGCATCATCATATCATCATCATCCTCATCATCACCATCATCATCAACAACATCATCAGCACCATCATGGTCTGCATCATCATCTTCAACATCTTCAGCATTACCATAGTCAGCATCAGCATCAGCAACAACAGCAACATCATCATAATCCGTGGCAGCATCAACAGCATCATCATCATGTTCATCATCAGGCTCGCCATGGACATCATCATCATCACCATCGTCATGATCAGGATCAGCAACAGCATCAGCATCATCAGCGTCACCATCGTCATCACCAGCATCATCGTCATCATCATCAGCATTATCTGCATCATCATCAACATCATCATCATCCTGACCAATAGCATCAACATCGTCATCGTTATCATCAAAATCGTCGTCGTCGTCGCCGTCGTCGTGATCATCATCATTATCATCACCACCACCACCATCATGATCATCATCATCATCATAATCATCATCATCATCATCATCATCATCATAATCACAACCACCACCACCGTCACTATCATCATCTTCAGCATCTTCAGCATCATCATCATCACCATCATCGTCACCATCTGCATCATCATCGTCATCATCATCGTCGTCGTCCCAAGCCTTATAGGGCCTGCAGGTGGTGCCGACCCCGCTGAAGACACTCCCCAGCCCAGTGCGCCGCTCCTCCTTGAAAACGGTCTTCCAGTCGTCGCGGCAGCAGGCCTGCTTGGCCTCCGTCCGTATGTCTGGGGGCGCAGCCGCCTCCCGCAGGAAAGGAAGCCCCCGTCCGCCTTCTGCTGCAGCCAGCGCGGCATGCTCTTCTTTGGACGTAGCGATGGCCGCGTCGAACCTGCTGAGCGCTTGGCCACCTCGCTCGGACTCGCGATACCGTCGCAGTCCCCAGCCTCGCGTGCCTTTTCCGCCTGGAGGGGGCGGCCTCACAGCGGCCTGCTCCGCGCTTCTGCCCGGGCCTGCTCCTCCTGAGAGCTTGAGCCCCTCGGGCAGGAAGCAGCCGGTGGGCTCGAGGAACGACTCGACCTCTGCACGCTTGGCCGCGTCAAGAGCGGGGACGCTGTCGACGAAGGCCGCGTTCTCCATGAAGGCGTCGCAATCGGCTTGCCCGCCGCCGTCGCCTGCTGCAGGGAGAGCACCAGCACCAGGAGCTGCACCATGACCTTTAGCCGGTGGGGCCTGCTCGGTGGCAGCCTTCTCGGCGTTGTCAACGCACGTCTTTGTTGCTGCAGCAAGGCGGCTGAGCAACTCCACCGCCTGGTTGAGCTGCACCGCCTCCTCACCGTCGAACCTGCCCTTGAGCTCCGCTGCGTACTGGGCGCCCAGGGCGACCTGTGCCAGGTCGACGTCGGCGGCCTTTCTCTCCAGCCCCGACGGCGGGCGGCCCGCCTGCTCCACTCTGCGGGCGCGCTCGAAGTTCTCGTTCGCGTCCTCATGGGCCTTGAGCGCCGCGTCTCGGTGCTCCTGCGCCGCCTGCTCCGCCTTGCGGGCATCCTCCAACAACTCCGACGCGGCCTCCTGGCCCCGCTCCGCCTTCTCCAGCTTCGTTGCCGTATTCTTCACCTTCCACATGGCTGATTGGACTGCACCGTGGTGAGACTACGGCTTCGTCGGTAAGACCTCCTTGGCCTTGCCTGGCAGGCCCATATTCCGCTTGTCCTCCTCCACCAGCATGATGCTTCGCGACTCCAGGAAGGCCACGGCGCTCGCCAGCTTGGCGTCGTCCTCCCAATCATGGTCCAGCACCTCCTCAATCTTCTCCGTGTCGGCGACGCGGACCTTGCGGGGCTTGCCCCCTCCGTGGATCCAACCCCCGCCGTCGCCCTTCGACTCGGCGCCAGCCGAAGGCGCAGGCTGTGCCACCGTCTGGCTGGGACACGTATTCGCCTTCGGGCCTGGCGCCGATACGTCTGTCGCTCCTGCGGCCGCTGCGATGGCCCTCTGGCGCACCGCCGACGGCGCCGCCTGGCCGCAGCCCTTGCACTGGACCCGACTCGCCCAGTTCGCCGCCTCGCCGCAGCTGCAGCCCCAGTGCGGCATTCTGGGCCCAGACAGGACCAAACCCGATGCGCCCGCGATTCCGCCGCCCGCCACGCGCGGCAAGCGGGCCCACGGGGGCTTGACCATGGCAGGAACCCAGATGGGTACGGAATGACTGCAAATACTCAATGGCCAGATTGGCACGCACGAGCGCGCCGCTCTGAAGTATGTTCGTGCAAGACCCGCCCTTCCTCGGGAGAGCCCATCCCCCACCCCCCTCCCCCTCCTCCTTCCCTGCCTCGTCCTCCTCCTCCTCCTCCTCCTCCTCTTCCTCCTCCTCCTCTTCCTCCTCCTCCTCCTCCTCCTCCTCCTCCTCCTCCTCCTCCTCCTCCTCCTCCTCCTCCTCCTCCCCTCCCTCGTCCCTCGTCCTCTCTCTCCTCCTCCTCCTCCCTCCTCCTCCTCCTCCTCTCCTTCTCCTCACCCTCCTCCTCCCCCATCCTCCTCCTCCTCCTCCAGCTCCTCCTCCTCCTCCTCCTCCTCCTCCTCCTTCTCGTCCCTCCTCCTGCTCCTCTTCGCCCCCCATCCTCGTCTGTCTTCCTGCTCCTCTCAGGGGGACGAGGTCCTGGCGGCCCTTCCCTCCTCGCCTCCTCCCCCCCAAGCAGCGGCGGCGCCTGCGCCTCCAGCTGAGCTGGACGTGGAGCATCTCCGCAGGTTGTCGGGCTTGAGGCTCTGGGGGCGCGGGTCCGAAGTGGCGCCGCCGGCGCGTGGGGGGCCCTTTCTAGCCTGCCGATTTCCGCCTATTCGGTTTCTCCCGACTTGGCTGCCAGATTCCGCCGACGACGCCGACGCCGACGCCGACGCCGACGCCGACGCCGACGCCGACGACGACGACGACGACGACGACGAAAACAACGACGACGACGACGACGAGCAGGGCGACGACGACGACGACGATGACGACGACGAGGGCGACTAAGGCACCGACGACGACGAGCCTGCGTCGACGGCCCTCAGACGCCCTTCAACGTTGAAGGCAAAACACTGGCCGAAACAGCTGCCAGGACGAGGAACTACGCAATCTGGAAGCCGAGTCCCTGATCAAGGACTCGCCCGCGTCCTCCGGTTGGTGGAGGGCTCCCGCGAGCGACACGTCGTTGTCAACAAGGAAGTGGCTTTCAAGCAATGCCAGGGCGACCTCACTACGTCGGGCTCTCCATCCCGTAGGGGTGGCTTGGGGACGCTTTTCTGGATAACGCTACCTACCAGTCCCGGCATCACAATGTTCACAGGCCCGCCCGCGCTGAGCGGCCCCAACCGTCGACTTCCTGGCGTCTCCGTCGCCGTGGTCCTCTTTCTGCACGTAGTCTACACACTCGGCACCGAGCTTGGCTGTCAAAGTCGGGCCGTCGATGCCATCCAGGCGACAGCTCGCGGAACTCCGAGCTGGAGTCGCCTGCTCCAGACATGTGTTTCACCAACTTGCTTGTCAATTTGCGCGGTTGTTTCACACACCATGCCGAATTCTTTCATCGTCTCTCTCTGGCCGATCTTACACGAATCGTCGCTGTAACCAAGACTTGGCTGGACCAGTCGGTCTTGCCTCCAACACTACCCCACAATGGAAGTATCTCGCGGCTGGACCAGCGCGACGGTCGTCAAGTAAGTGGGATAATACTAGTTATTTGCCAATGAAGCTGTCGCCAGGTGCATCGTCCGCACTGGTGGTTCGGAAGTTTTAACGTCCTTGGCATATTGTGCACAATGATCGTGGGTAAAGGGCGCTGCCTCCTTGAAAAACTTGTGGACAGCCTTGCCGCCACCAGAGACTGACCACATGGCGGGCCCAAGCTCGCCAGCGTTGCCAGCGAAGCCGCGATGGCTCGTGTGAAACTCGGTCGGGTATTCTGTGTACCTCCGTGATGGCAGTGTCAAGCAAAGCCCCACCGTGGGCCGCGCTGTCCAGCAGCGAGGGCACACTCCCTACTGCTGCTAGGTCAGGCCCAAGGCACTTGTGTTCCATCTGCTGGATGGTCTTCAGGAGCATAGGCAAAGTGGAACTGAAGACTGGGCTCTCGGGAGACATCCAGATCCCTCGGACCTTATGGAGAAGATTTTGCAAGGCCACTCCCTGGCAGCAGGGGAAGTGCCTTCCTCCCAGCACCTCTGCAGCAGAACATGCTGCTAAACTACCTCCACCGCTGGATGAAGGAGTGGAACCCCAGGTGGTAATCAGCTTTCCGACGGCAGGTTGCCCACCGCAGGAGCGTTCCAATGGGATTCCAGCGGTGTTGGTGGTCACATTCTCCTGGACTAGTATGTTCTCCTCATCCTACTCCTGCTCTTCCCGCGCGAGCGCGCGGCACAGCAGAAAGAGGATGAGGAACCAGGTGGAGGCAGGAGGGCCTGAGGATTCCTCTGATCTCCCGCGAATCTCGCCTGGCTTCCTGAAGACTACCCCTGGGATGCCCTCAGGAGTTCTGGATTTCCTTCGGGCGGCCCAAAGAAAGCCTACAATATCCAAGCCCCTTGGTGACCCTAACAATTCCTCATCGCAGGACACCTGGGGAAACCCCGAAGACTTGGCAGCATGCATGTATTCAATAAGCGAATTGGCACGACTACACATTCCTGCGAATGAAACAAGGCATCGAAAGTTCAGCCGGATACTCCGCGGGAGGAAGGGAGGTAGGAAAGGGCTCACTATCCGCCCTTCTTGGGTCTGTATGCCCAAATGCCCTAGAATAGCTACGTGTCACTAATCACCCGCTCTGAAACCGAAACGCATAATTAGGTGATACTACCTGGCTAGCAGGGGCACTCCGAGAAAAACACATGGGGCGAACATAAGAGAAGAAGGAACACGATCTACCTCCACCAAGCCCCTTCGGGGCGACCATGTATGGGCCCAGGATTCGGTGAAAGGCCCTGCAGGCCAAGGCGGGAGCCGATATCCTCGCCCCGAATCGTATGAAGCTTGGTGATGGTGATGATGGACGCTTTCCATCTCCTGGAGGACGGAGGGGAGAGGTGGAGGGGAGGATGGAGGGGGAGGCCAAGGAGGGGTGCGACGGCGGAAGGTGGCGAGTCTCATCGTTGATGTCGCAACCGCCTTCGTCTCCCTCCTCCGTCTCTCCATCCTCCTCTTTCCTCCGTCCTCATTCTCCATATTTCGAACACCGGCATCAAGCTGGTCCTGGAGAAGGAAAGCCCTCGTGGCGGTATGGTGCCGCTGTTCTAAGTCGCTTGGCGTCTCGAACTCAAATATATGGCTCGGGGAGGTTGCTTGGAGCCCCATCAACTGGTGGAGCCTAACTGCGTTGTTGGCATCGCTTATCATTCCTCATGCTCCACGTCGTCGTCCTACCTCTCATGGCTCGCAGGCGGGGGCTGTCATATGGCCATGAGTGCAGCGCACTGGTCGGTGCATAATGCGCATGAGATTGTGGCACGGCCCCTCGACAGGCGGTGGAATCTGTCGAATACAGGTCTGCATCGCAATCCATTTGCCGTCGCTCCTTCGCGGGGATCCCGATCTCTACAGTACGTATCCGCACCGCCCCGCCCTTGCCCCAATATTCAATACGAGCATGTGGTACCTTGATCGCTCTGAACCGTTGCAGATGACGTTATGAAAACTACTGCACATCATTGCTACTAGATAATTTCAGACCCTCCTTGCAAAACGCTTCTTCATCCTCCTCTATGTTTACTTTGCCCGTGCATTGGATCATGGACACGTCAATGAAATATCTTCCTCGCTACGGATCCCTTCTCGCCCTCCTCTTCACCCTCCCTCCTCTACTCGTTAAGTCGCCCTCGTCATCCTACTCCCGTCCTCCCATCATCCTTCGGATCCTCCTCCTCCTCCTCCTGCTCCTCCTCCTCTTCTTGCTCCTCTTCCTCCGCTACAACTCTTCCTCACCCACCTCCTCCTCCCCCTCCTCCTACAGTCAAACCGCATAGTAAGAAAAAGGGCAACCTTCCCAAAGATACCATTGCATCCTTGCCTCCTAGGTCCATCCTTGGCCACTTTCTTCGGCTGCGCCTCGCTCGAGAATCTTCGACATGGGCGTCCGAGGCCCTTCCATCCTTCTCGGGCATTCTTATGACACGGTCTGACTGTAATCATCCTCCTAATGCTCCTCCTCCTCCTCCTCCTCCTCCTCCTCCTCCTCCTCCTGCTCCTCCTCCTCCCCCTCCTCCTCCTCCTCCTCCTCCTCCTCCTCCCTCCTCTTCCTCCTCCTCCTCCTCTTCCTCCCGTCCACTTCCTCTTCTTCTCTCCTCCTCCCCCTTCCCCTTCCTCCCTCTCCTCCTCCTCCTCCTCCTCCTCCTCTCCTCCTCCTCCTCCCTCCTCCTCCTCCTCCTCCTCCTCCTCCTCCTCCTCCCTCCTCCTCCTCCTCCCTCCCTCCCTCCTCCTCCTCCTCCCTCCCTCCTCCTCCTCCTCCTCCTCCTCCTCCTCCTCCTCCTCCTCCTCCTCCTCCTCCTCCTCCTCCTCCTCCTCCTCCCTCCTCCTCCTCCTCCTCCTCCTCCTCCTCCTCCTCCTCCTCCTCCTCCTCCTCCTCCTCCTCCTCCTCCTCCTCCATCTGCCCTGGAGAGGCACCCCCGTGAGCGGGATGTCGGGCCCAAGTGCCCACTGATGCAGGCGGAGAGCACTGGGCATCCGAGGTCCACGCCCCCGCACCAAGGCTTGCTTCCAAAACAGGGTCCCCTCCCCGAGGGGCCGCCGGGCGCGAGGGTCCCTGCAAGGGTGGGAGTCCCCCCCAGGCTCCCCGTGCCAGCGGTCACGGCCGGCGGTCCGTCCTCTCCGTCGTGTCGTCGCCGTCGGCGTCGCGTCGTCATGCCTGCCGCGGCCGCCACCGCCGCCGCCGCGCTGCTGCCGCCGCGTCGCTGTCGGCTTCATCTCGTGTCGTCGTCGTGTCGTGGCGTCGTCCTGCCCGTTGCCGTCCTTCGTCGTCGCTGCCGCGTCGTCGTCGTGGTCAGTTCGGCGTCGCTTCGTGACCGTCGTCGTGGTCAATGTCGGCGTCGTCTCAGGGTCATGTCGGTTTCTCTTTGGTCCCTTCTGAGAATCGTCTCGCGCTGTAAGCGCTCCAGCGGCGGGCCGCGGCGGCGCGGCTTCGCGGCTCCCATGCACGCGCTGGCCGCCGCGCAGTCTGCTCGCGCTCCTCCTCCTCCTCCTCCTCCTCCTCCTCCTCCTTCATATCTCTTCCTTATGAATAATTCGTCCCTGTCGCACCCCCAGACGGTAGGGCGGGCCGGGCGTTTCGCCTGAGACTTCCTCACACAACAATTTCACGGGTCGAGGGCGGCTCGTTTCAAAATGTGAATCATTCCTGAGCGCCGCGCACAGTTGCCTTCAAAGCTGCAACAGTTTTACCGATGGAGGGCAGTTCGTTATCAAAATGTGACTCTCGCCTTAACGCCGCGCACAATTCCTTAAAACGTGTGTGCGCTCAACAAGGGTCCGTAGGGTTGAAGTCCCAGGAGTTGTACTCTGGCGAGATCCCACCAGCCCTCTGGGCGTAGGTGGTTTAGAGCGTTTCCTCTTCCACCCCTCCCTCTTCCCCTTCGGGGAGGGGTTTACCCCTCCCCCTCACCCCCTCCCCTGAACCTGAGGGTGCGGTCGTGGGTCGTTGGAGCGTCCAAGATGGCCCAAGGTGGCTCCAAGAGGGCCTGAGAGAGGCCAAGATGACCTCCAAGATTGCCAAACATATCCCAAAATGCGTCAAGATGGCTCCCAAGATGCTCCAAGAGGCCCCAAGACCGCTTCAAGACAGCTCCGAGCGGCCACGGAGCCTCCCGAGGAGGCCGCCAAGAAGCCAAAGTGCTTCAAACACCTAGGGAAAATCGATGCATGTTGCCTTCTCGCCTTCTCGCTTCCGATGGTCTCCCGAGGCCTCCAGACAGGTCCAAGAAGGACCACGAGGGCCCCAAGAGAGGCCCCAGAGAGCCCCAAGACGGCCCCAAGAGCGCTCCAAGAGAGGCCCGAGAGGTGATTTTTGGAGCTCCCGAGGGGGGAGGTTAATTGAAGCTCCCCCCCTTCTTTGATCGATCTCCTCCAAGATGGCCCCAAGAGGCGACCGGGAGGCCCCAAGAGGCCCCACGATGGCCCCAAGATGGCTCCAAGATGGCCCCACGAGGCCCCCAGGAGGCCCCCCAAGAGGACCCCAAGCGGCCCCAAGAGGCCCCCCGTGGCACCCAAGACGCCCAAGAGCCCCCCAGGACCGCCGAGAGACCCCAAAGACGTCCCAAGAGGCCTCCAAGAAGCGCCCCAGAGATATCCCAAGAGGCTCCGAGGGGCATCCAAGAGACCTCTGGCCCTTTTGCTTGCCCTCCTCCTCCTGCTCCTCATTCCTCCTCCTACTCCTTCTCTTAGTCCTCCTCCTCCTCCTCCTACTCATCATCATCATCATCATCATCATCATCATCATCATCATCATCATCATCATCATCATCATCATCATCATCATCATCATCATCATCATCATCATCATCATCATCATCATCATCATCATCATCATCATCATCATCATCATCATCATCACATCAGCATCATCATCATCATCATCATCATCATCATCATCATCATCGTCGTCATCATCATCATCATCATCATCATCATCATCATCATCAGCATCAGCATCATCATCATCATCATCATAATCGTCATCATCATCATCATCAGCCTCATCCTCATCCTCATCCTCATCCTCATCCTCAGCATCAGCATCATCACCATCATCATCATCACCATCATCATCATCATCAGCATCATCATCATCATCATCATCATCATCATAATCATCATCATCATCAGCATCAGCATCATCATCATCTTCATCATCATCATCACCATAACCATCATCATCAACATCAGCATCATCATCATCATCATGACCATCAACATCAGCATCTGCATAAGTATCAACATCATCATCATCATCATCAGCCCATTCATCGTCCTTCTCCTCACTCCCTCATCCATCCATCCAGCCGCCTCCTTCTCCTCCTCCTCCCGCCTTTGCACGGCTCGGCCGTCCACCTCTGTGCTCCCGCATTTCCCTGATCACCTCAACTCGCCTGGACATCAATTCTGGATGGGCTGGTGGGGATACTTTTCGTCGCGGCCGCAGGCGAGCGCGCCAGCAGCGTCAGAGGTCGGGCGGGCTACGCGCGAGCTGGTGGGGATACATTTTTTTTGGTCGCGGGCGCAAGCGAGAGCGCAGGCGCCGTCCAACCAAGTCCGGGTTGCGGTACCTACTAGTTTACAGCGAAAGCACGCGGCTGGCGCGGGAACTGGTGGGGATGCACGAAGCGTCTAGAATTTCTTGAGATTGCCAGGACGCAGCACTATGGCTGATTCGCGGTGGTACAGCCCCAAGAACGTGGTCGAGCTCGGAGAAGGGTAGCCAGGACGAAAGAGTCACGTGTATTCGCGGCGTTGAAGTCTTAGGAATGGCGCTGTCGCCCGGTAAAGCATAACATACGGTTGTCATCCAATGGGACACTTTCCGCAAAGACAGTCAATTCGTGTAGGAGCCCATGGAGGGGGGGGTGGGAGGGAGAGTTTACTGCAACATTGTTGATGCGTCTTGGGTTTGCACTCCTCCTCATTCTCATCCTCCTCCTCCTCCTCCTCCTCCTCCTCCTCCTCCTCCTCCTCCTCATGCTGCTCCCTCCTCTACCTCCTCCTCCTCATCCTCCTCCTCCTTCTGCTCCTCCTCATCCCTCTCCCCCCCTCCCTCCTCCCCTCATGTGCCTGGCGTACCCCGCCCGCGCAGGCGGCTGGTGCCTGCAGATTGGCCTGGCCGAGCTCCACCTGGAAGCGCCCTTTGGCCTCGTCCCACTTCGTGATCACCCCCGACTTGCCGTTCAGCCCCCTACCCGCCTCGACCGCAGGAACGGCGGCGACGACTTCCACGGGAGCGACGACGACGACGGCGACGGCGACGGGGATGGGGACGGAAACGGCGACGACGACGACGACGACAACCACTACGACGACGACGACGACGACGACGACGACGACGACGACGACGACGACGACGACGACGACGACGACGACGACGACGCCGCGTGTGTGCTAGTCTCGTGGCGCGCGGTGCGCGAGTCGCGGGCACCCAAAATTCTCGACACCCTTCAGGGGGGGAAGGAGAGCCTAGAACCGAATCGATAAGTCGGATCGGCGATCAAATTAATCGGATCGGAAGGAATCGGCAGGCGAGCCTGCAAACGTCGAACTGGCGGAAGTCGGCAAGCCTGTGTGCCTCCCTTGAGAAGTCGAAAACCAGATCGGAATCCGAAGTCGACGCGAATCGGGATCGGAAGCGGTCGAAATTGAACCGAATCGAGCCGGAGGAACCGAACCGAGCCCTGAGGGGGCCAGCCTCCGCTGCCTCTTGTCCCAAGCCGCTCTCGACCGCTCCCCCATGGGGGCCCGCTGGGAGCCCGCGGATTTGGACGCCGCAACGGGCACGGAAAAAATGGGTACAATGCCCAACAACAAATGTTGTCACAAACCAACAGCGGCCGCTGTTGGGCAGGCGCCCTTCTGTCTCAAATGGACATAGTCCGCGGCGACGCCGACAGCGAACCCTGTTCAAAATGAACAGGAACTGCTGTCGATCATTGTGCCCATTCTTTCCGTACCTATTTCGATCGTCCCGAGCGGAGGCCGCGGGGAGTCCCCTACCCCTGGGGCCAGAAATCGTGTTTGACGGTCCAAGGGCTCGCTTCTGCCAGAAATCGTGCAATACAATCAACCCGTATAACACGGACGCGCGATAAGGATGCAAGGGCCTTGGAAGACCATGTCGGCACTTTGCGGGCGGGGCGCGGCCAGCAAAAGCAGCCACGGGTGGGCCGAAAGGGGAGGATGCAAAGGTAACCTTGGAAAGTCGCTCACTCTTACTACGCGGGTCGACTGTAATGGAAGTTGAGGAGGGACCAAAAAACATCCAAAGCGGGTTCACGGTCGCGTCGCCAGGTAAACGGAACGATCCAGCAGAGCCAGTACGCGGCGATTGGGACAATTCCACTTGCGGATCCTGTCCGAGCCCTCGACACCTTTACGGATAGGGCACTCACATGGGCGACCGAGTCGGGACCCCAGCTTCCTGGGCCAGCGTTTCAGCCACGGCGACGAGGGAATGACCGCTGTCGTTCGAGACCAGCTTTGAAGGACTGTAGGAAGGCCTCTAGGAACATCCAGCAGGCACCAAAACCCGCACTCTACTCCGAGCTCGCCTTCCTTCCAGTCTTTTCAAACTACTGGCCACCTCAGGAAGCCAACCCAGGCGGCCAGCACGAAGGAGAGGGAGGGGGGGAAGGGAGGAGGACAGCAGGCAGGGGAGTGGACGGGGGAAATGAACGCGACTGGTGGATGGATGGGTACGGAGGGAGGGGAGCGAGGAGGGCGAGAGATGGTGTGGGCGAGGGCGTGGAGAGAGGGGATCGAGGGTGGGCTTCGAAGGGAGGGGAAAGTGACGAAACAAGAGAAGGGCGGGAGCGGGAGACGTGCGAGAAGCAGATGCCCTCTCAACCTGGAGGTCCTCATAGCCTCCGTCTCGTCCTTTTCCTACTTCTCCTGGTCGTCCTCCTCCACCCTCCTGATCTTCCTTCCTGTCCTCCTCTTAGTTCTCCTCCCCACATCATCCCACAAACGCCGACCCCTGTGGCTGCATCGGCGGGTTGTGTTGCATTGATTTAAACTGCGCTGCATTGGCTTGCATTGCTGTGCGTTGGTGTGCGTTGGTTTGCATCCCATTGCGTTGCATTGTTTGCATGGCGTTGCAATGTTTTGTATTGGTTGGCTTTGCGTTGGATTGCTTTGCGTTGCTCTGCATAGCTTTGCGCTGCTGATCATTGCGTTGCGTTGCGTTGCGTTGCGTTGCGATGCATTGCTTTGCAATGCGCCGGTTTGCAGCACGTTGCATTGCGTTGCATTGCGCTTCGCACTGTGTTGCGTTCTTTGCGTTGCGGTGCATTGCTTTGCATTGTTTGAAACCACATGGACGGTATCACATGGATCCCACCATCTAGATTGCACCGCGTTGGTTGCACCTCCCACACTGTACCGCGCAGATCGCACGACGTCCTGGTTTGGGATCCACGCTGGCTCATACGCTTAATGCTGTCGCACACAGGATTGGACAACTGTAAGGTTGCTTCAGGTGCTTTACAGTCCGATCGACTTCGGTGTCTCGAGAGGTTTCTCGCGCCAGAAGCACCACTGTGTCGAGGAAGGCGCCAAGGGGCGGGACCGAAACCAGCTGCAAGTATGCAGGCAACAATTGTCTCCCCCCCCCTTTTTCACAACCCCAATTCTCGCCCGACCCGAAAGAAGGAGGAGGATAGGGAGGACGATCTGGAGAGCAAGGGGGAGGAGGAGGAGGGGGAGCGAGAGAGGGACCCTGCGACCGAATTGAAATCAACATCGGGGGCAAGATCGGGAGCCGCGCGCGGCAGAAGCGGTAAAAACCCAAAATGCAAACAACGATCTACCGGAAATCTCCGAAACGACAGCACTGTCGTCGACGTCGTCGCGCACAAAGCGAAGATGCGCTGGCAGAACCTGTCCACAGAATGTGTCCACATCCACTGTCGCGAAATCGCGTCCCAGGACCTCGGGGAGCGGTGGGTACATCAATGTCTGCCCACCCGTGCGGGCGGGCACACACCCCATCTACCACTCCCTGAGGAGGAGGAGAAGGAAGAGGAGGAGGAGGAGGAGGAGGCGGAGGTGGAGGAGGAGGTTGAGGAGGCGGAGGAGGTGGAGGAGGCGAGGACGAGGAGGAGGAGGTGGAGAAGGGGGAAGGAGGAGGAGGAGGAGGAGGAGGAGGAGGAGGAGGAGGAGAGGAGGAGGAGGAGGGGGAGGAGGAGGGGAGGAGGAGGATGAACTACCCCCCACCCGCCGAGAAGGAGAAGGAGGAGGAAGATGAGGAGGAGGAGGAGGAGGAAGAGGAGGCGGCGGATGAGGAGACGGAGGCGGAGAAATAGGGATAGGAGTAGCTACATGACGGTGTCATGTGGAATCTCTTCACCAGGTCTGGCTGCCTTCTCGGCAACACTCAGGACCTTGGGAACCGAGCATCTGCTGATGCGATCCAGGTAACTCCTCCTGGCCGCCGCCGAAGGCGTATGTCGAGACTGTCTGAAACCAATACGGGGATTGTGGGTGAAATAGCAACCAGACACCCCGCAAAACCAGACCCCCAGAGCGCGATGGGTACATTAAATCGTATGGTTCGCGGGCCCACCCCCCAGCTAGGTGCAGCCTGACCCCTCAGGCCTACGTGAGACAACCGAATCAACAATTGTCAGCTCAAAACAGCGTGTGTGTGGCCACTCTTTAGCAGTAGGGCCAATGACACTCCCACGACAACGCTTACACGCAAGACCGCGGTCGGCTAAGAAGTGGGACGAACAGAATACCACCGCTGCAAAAGGCCTGGGAAGCGGAGTGGGAGGGGGCGGGTGGGCAGCAACCTCGACAGTACAATCGGCCTAAGGGTGACGGCTCTCACGCGTAGCCTCCGTCTCAGCAACAGCAGCCTTGAACGAAGCTCGAAGCAATCTCCGACGCATACGTAGCCCAGCGTTCACACTCCAATATCCGGGCACGTGTGTATATGTCGAATATGTGCACGGCTGCGGCACTTTCTGCCGGTGGGTCTGCCACCGCACTACCAATCAACATCCAATCCTCGATATGCTTCTCTGCGGCCGCAGACTCATTGAGATGAGATGGTAGCTGAAACACAACAAATTCAGCTGGGTCCTGCTCTGAAGTGGGACCAGGCCTCGCTCCACGAAGCGCTTAAACTGCCTGGGCACTTGCGATGCTGCTGGCCATGCCAGCCTTGGCAGACCATCGTTTTGGATGTCCGATCGAGACGCGAACTGCCCACTCACAGGCCCGCAACTCCCCCCGCGGGGCAGCCTGCTGTCGGCCCGTCAGCGGGTATGAGACTGCGACGCTTCTGCTGGCAGAACGGACACCCGAAACGACTGCGGGTCCGATGCCAACACCCCTGATGCCGGGGCGCCCGCAGGTGAGCAGCGGAGCCTCGCGAGCACAGGTGCCCAAAGCGACCTGGCTGCAGCTCGTTGTAGTCGGAGTCGGTGATGACCAGCTGCTCGGCTTCGGTGGGCCGCGGAGCCTGCGTCGTCCTCGACGGCGCGATGCCTCGAAGCCAAAAAGGCAAGCTCTGCTTTGGCCTGCGCCGACGCCTCGGGCACCAACGCGTCCGAGGAGGCGCAGGCCTCGGCGCTAAAGCTCTGATGGAGTCGACGAGCTCGCTACAACTACGGCGCGCTTCACTGCGCATCTTTGGATGGGCCACCCATGTGGACAGCCCCTGGTAAAAGCAAAACTGTGGAAAACGCGTGGCTGGATCTTGATCCACTGCTCTGAGATCGAGAAGGGTCGCCAAGCGTCGGCCTCGCTGCGCCATGCCTGCGGTGGCTCCAATTTGCCGTCGCACACTGCGCAATTCGGCACCGAACATGCCATGCACCTGGCGCGCGTAGGCTGCTGAGGCCTGAGGCCCAGCAATTTGCGCTTGCTTGATCACGGCGCAACACTTGGAAACAAACGCATGACCACGTAACCGATGATGCCTGTCCTGCGCCGCGAGGATTCCGGAAAGTGGCGAGCGGCGCGAGCTGCGCGGCGACCTCCACCAAGACCGACGCCCAAGTACCCTGCTTGCCTGACGGCTTGGATCGCGATGCCTCTCATCCTCAGCTGGTGAGCCGCCGCCGTGGAGTCGGACGTGGACCTGCGCAGCACCTCGCTCTTCGCGGCAAGGGCCAGCCCGCTATCGCGCAGCTCGCCCCATCACCAGCGCGGGGCCGTCCACCAGCGCCCGACTGGCCGAGTCACTG